AGAGAGAGAGAGAGAGAGAGAGAGAGAGATAGATAGATATAGATATATATGTACATGCTAATATATATTTAGTTCTTGCAGTTGTCTCGTGATTTTATATATGCTTCAATGTTCGGAATAAAAGTTTCTATGTAGTTGGCCCGTGGCAAAGTCCTTCATGTTAGGCTTAACTCATCAATCTTCAGGTTGTAATTACTTGAGTATACAAATCCATCCGGTCAATTATTGAGACCGGGTCGACACTAATTTTGAACGCTGTCAATAAAGTGTAGTTTATTGATGGAAGAACATTGATTTTCATCAGCAAGGTGGTGTTTTTGGATAAGTCTCTGTGTGGCGGCTGAGATTTGAGCGAGGCGGCCCGCCTCGTTCATGTCAATGTAGGGGAAACACCGCATGTATGTAGATGTCATCGCATTCGGGAAAAAAAAACACGACGTTAAAACTTCGCGTCGTCATTCGTTTTTCAGAGTGGTTGGTCTACGAGCAGGTTTGCTTGGCGGCACTCGACTGTTCGAGACAGGATATAGCTCAGGTACGCGCATTTACACGTGGTCTACACTAGTGCCTCAAGTTTTCTGCTTTATAAATGTCAAATTCTGCTTTCTTCTGCTTTACAAATCTCAAATTCTGCTTTTTTCTGCTTTCTAAATTTCGCCATTCTAAATTTCACCAAAAGCTTAGAAAAGCATAGACGCCCGCCCGACCCGCGCACACCGCGCGGACCCGGCACCGTATTTATCGATCGCAAGCGGCCAGCGTAGAAAATCGCACAGTGTGTCCTAGGCTCCTAGTCCGTTAATTTTTACATCTTTTTTCAAGACTAAGTTTTCCGCGTTCTCCTCCCGCTTCGCGGAAAACTTCGGGGACTAGTCTACACCTCTATTTACATCTGTTTCTATGTTCTTCATGTTAGAACCTTGGCACTTCAGTATTGACATGTAGAGGGCAAGTAATCGTTCATTTCTAGCAGTAATGGTTTTGATTTTGTAATTGTTTTAATTATGTTTCAGAAATGTTTATCTGCACTGCGTCATCAGTTCCCCGACAGTAGCCGAGTGAAGAAACTCGCAGCAATGCAACACGAATCGCTAGGAAGGTAAGCGTACAGCAGCAGTACATCTGGGTTCTCTCGCTCATTCTCTTCCTCTCTTTCTCCCTCCCTCCCTCCTCTCTCATCTCTATTTCACTCTCTCTCTCTCTCTCTCCCTCTCTCTCTCTCTTCTCTCTCTCTCTCTCTCTCCCTCTATTCCGCTTGCTCTCTCTATCTTTCTCTCTCTCTATCTTTCTCTCTCTCTTTCTCTCTTTCTTTCTCTCTGTCTCTCAACCTCTTCCTCTCTCTCTCACCATCTCTATTGTGTGTTTTAACAGCTATGAGAGAGCGATATGTATCTATGACTCGCTGCAGCACCAGGATGAGAGCAGCTCTCCCTCCCTTCCTCCCGATCCCTTCCTCCCTCTCTCCCTCTCTCTCTCTCTCTCTCTTACCATCTCTATTGTGTGTTTTAACAGCTACGAGAGAGCGATACGTATCTATGACTCACTGCAGCACCAGGATGAGAGCAGCCCTCCCTCCCTCCTCCCTCCCTTCCTCCCTCCCTCCCTTCCTCTCTCTCTCTCTCTCTCTTACCATCTCTATTGTGTGTTTTAACAGCTATGAGAGAGCGATACGTATCTATGACTCACTGCAGCACCAGGATGAGAGCAGCCCTCCCTCCCTTCCTCCTCCCTCCTTCCCTCCCTCCCTTTCTCCCTCCCTTCCTCCCTCCCTCTCTCTCTCTCTCACCATCTCTATTGTGTGTTTTAACAGCTACGAGCGAGCGATACGTATCTATGACTCACTGCAGCACCAGGATGAGAGCAGCCCTCCCTCCCTTCCTCCTCCCTTCCTCCCTCCCTCCCTTTCTCCCTCCCTTCCTCCCTCCCTCTCTCTCTCTCACCATCTCTATTGTGTGTTTTAACAGCTACGAGAGAGCGATACGTATCTATGACTCGCTGCAGCACCAGGATGAGAGCAGCTCTCCCTTCCTCCTCTCTCCCTTCCTCCCTCAAAAAGTACGCTGAAAACGCTCAATGAATAATTGCCAAAATCCTGCTAAAACCATCAAGCAAACAACCACAGGAGGCCGATTCTCTCCCTCACGACCTTTGACCCCTGCGCGACCTCGCGCTCTCACCCGACGACGAGGCGCGCGACTCCCGCCGCGCGGGCGACGACGATCGTGATTGGCTGCCGCGCACCGACCGTCGCCGTGAATCCTCCGTCATGGCCGCCGCCGCCGCCGTCTGATCCTTCGGACTCGAGAACGACGTCCTTGTCGATCGGACGCCGGACGCCGCGTCCGCCGCGGGTCTGTCCATGGCGCAGTGGCTCCCTCTATTCACGCGACGCGACTTCTTCGACGTTCGACCTAGGAAAGAGATTCGTGCGTTAATACAGATACTATTACTATTGCATTATTACCTGTACTATTGCTCTGCTGTTACTATTATTGCTATACTTGCTTATTACTTAGCTCTGCGAGGGCGGTAACATACAGGTTGTAGTGTTATCGGCAAAGATATGGTGTTACTGACAAGGCTACACTGGAAGGACACACGGTAGATACGATAATGTAACCTGACAAAGAGTAGGGCCTACTCTGTGTTGCAGGGGTAGAAATCAACTTTTGAACAATGCAGTCTAACGAACCCTGCACTCAGAATGAAGGATTCCGTAGTTTGAAGTTCAAAATTAAAGATTTGCTGAAAAAATACGGATGAGGCCGTGCTCTGGAATGAACTAGTTAGTATGGCAGAATTTTCAGGGAGAAACACTGACTCCTGCAGATGTCAAATCAGGGAGTCCGACAGTAAATCAGGGAGTATTCTACTCCGGACCCCTGTTAATTTCGCACCCTGGTGTTGGGTTACATTATTCTAGTACTAGTACACTTAACTCGGGTAACCCTAACCATGTCCTCCATTTTATTTTGTACTAAAGGTAACGAATAGCTTCCTTTAAATAATCCGTGTCACATGTCTAGATGTCTGTCAGAAGTCCTGTATGTTAGAAAGAATCACGTGGCGTGTCACGCTCCTAGTTCGGGACCCAGCAAATCGTAATACCACCAGTTTCGCAAATGTGGGGGGAAACGTATTTTAACTATTTATTTGCTTCACGTCTTCCGTTTCAGACTCAGTCACTGTTTGGAGCAAAAATTTATGTTGAAAGGGTTAATAGGTAAGTTTGAAACAATTAATGCTGGAATAATTGCAGGATTTTATTTAATTTGCAATAGCAGAGCCACCCTTCCTATAATAATGCGGACTTGGTGCAACACTCGCCGCTAGGGCCTGCATACCTCCCAAATCTCATTGGTTGATACAAATCACGTGCCTCAATGACGTCACAGTGTTGTCATATTCATAGCACATCCATAATACATAAACCCAATGAGCCTGAATAGTCGAACGCTTACAGCGCGGGCGTCACGACTGAAAGGTCTTTGGATCGAATCCCACCTGTTTTTTAATTATTTTCCTGTTTTCTGTATTTTTCTATCTTTGTCTATTTAACTATGTTTTGCCAATTAACGCAAATATTTACATGATTTATTTACAACAATTTAATAACAACAAATAATGCTTACAACAATTAATTTGTATTTTATTTTTTATATTAAATTTCAATTAGGGTTAGGGTTAGGGTTATTGTATTAGCCTAGAGTTAGAGTTACTCAGTTAGGGTTAGGGTTAGGGTCACAATGCACCATAAACCAGGAGTTTCAGGCACGTGATTTGTATCAACCAATGGGATATGAGAGGTATGCAGGCCCTAGCTGCGAGTAGGTGCAACAAAAATGTGCATAGATTGTGACTGTGTGCGAAGCTAGTAATTTGGACCCAACAATTCAGACATACTTTTAGTAATTTCGACCCACTTTGGTAATTTGGACCCACCACATTTTCGACCCAATTTTTAACTGATGTGATGTATTTCTAATATTCATTATAACAGTATAAATTAATAATATAATAATAGGCCTACATGTGTGTGTGTTGCAGTGTGAGTGCGTGTGTGACGAGTAGAATTTTTAGTTTCAACTTCAAATGAAAACAAATCAATCAAAACAACACACAATTTGTATAAGAGACAATTAAGTAATTTACACAATTGTGGGCAACCCTCATATAACGGCTATTTTGTCATGCTGTGACTTGTTTGCCAATGAGTTATGATTCTTTGAATTTGCACAAAAATGTCGCTAAAATTTTGCGTGCGTTGACTGTGCTGTCATCTGGTGGCTCTCGCGATTTCTCACGAGTTACAAAATGTCAGCGTCCAGAAGTATTTCGGGAACTTGGAGAGATGTTGGGTTTGAAGGTATAGTTCTAAGATAAAAATCATTACTTTAATTCTTAGGTAATGATGATTATATTTGTTAACTGATCACGGTTATTCAGTGCCGTATGCCATCACTGACGCTCATAGGGTCTATGTCCCCCAGGCTACTGCCGGAACTACCTGTATTGGTAACTATTGGAGGTGGCAAATCCACTTAGGCACCTTACTTTAGCCTTAGTATCACGACAGTGCATGCACAGATATTTCTGTGTTATCATCAACCTGATGCACAGAATTTCGTTATATCAAGCGAAATGATGCAAAAACCCTAACCCTAACCCAAACACACTCGTGGATACCTAAGGAGGTAAGGTTTTACTTTATGAGCTAAGGTTAGGGTTAGGGTTTTTGCATTATTCCTTGATATACGGAAAGTCTGTGCATCAGTTGATGCACTACACAAGAATTCTAAAAGATCCCAGTACGACTATACAGAGATCCTAAGTGGTATTTGCGCCATATTTGTATATGGTAGGGTTACTGGTTCGACGTTGGAATATTTGTCCGAGATCGGAGACACCTCGTCGTGTACTGCGCTATTCGTGGCAGCACGTTTGGCGCATGCGCTTGTTTACTTAGCTGCCACAGCCGCACGGCGATTGTGCCGTGAGCGTAGGAAGCTGTGAAGGGCAGGGTCTGGTCCCCCCCAGACAATTTTTAATCTAGGACGCTACAATGCTCATTTACCTTTAGGATGTATGATTTTTTGCCTTTAGGCTGGGGGCCCGTTAGCCGTCAGTCGGCTGTGACGCCCTTGCTACATGCAGTTGCGGTATAGTGTTTATACACCATAGATAGTGATTTCAGCGTTAATCACTCGCGCTATATAAGCCGAACCGATGTCGGTTTATGTTAGCTGTTAGCGATTAGGATTATGGTTAGGGTTAGGGAGTGAGTGCGGCACTCCCTAGACTAGCATTACATTACATTTAGTAATACAACCATGAACGATCATGCGAGCTTAACTGCGCGGCAACGATGCGCAGCGAATCAGCGCCAACGAACAGGTTGCTCGCACTGCTCGGACGCAATATCGCACGTCTTACTGTATTATAGATTTAAGGCGTTACGGCAGGTAGGGTAGGCGATTCCTAGACTCGATTAGTGGAGCAAGGCGAGGTCGGTTTGGCATCATTAGATCTGTACCAGCGTATGTTCTTGCAGTACCCTGAGTGGACATAAGGACCTCTCAAGCATCCACGGACCACTAGCCAACACCTTGATTATGAAGTGGGCTGACGGGCAATTTCACCACTGCCTAGGCGCTCTATCGATTACGATAGGTACGATACTATACGTATAGCGGACTGGAAGGTCTATGTCCCCCTGCACCAGCTAAAAAATACTTTTTTTTTACCGAAGCCTCTTTTTGTTTTTGTATGAAAAAAAGCTCATGTAATTTTGTTACGGCGAGCTATTTTTAAGCTTGGCCCAGGAGCTCTACTTTTTCCATAGCCATGATATTGTTAAATTTTCATAATTTTTTATGCATGACTCTATAATGTCTCCAGAAGCCAGAAATTGTGTCTAATGTATCGTAAAGCGTGTTCCCAAACAAAAGTCAAGGCATTATGCTTTGGCGAAATCGACGGAGTCAACAAATTATTTCCTAATGGTGACAAATCACGCGGTGGCACGGGTTTACATGTTGCGCTGTATGATGTTGTTGTCAAAGCTATGATGCATTGCACTGATTGTCTCATTGCGCATTGTTTTTAATTCAAATTCGTTATGATCTAGCCATTTCATAAAAAAACTTGCTTGGCCGAACAGTGGAAGGCATGTTCAAGCTACTTGCCCGGCGGCGCAATTATTGGTTGCCCCGACGGCAATCGGTGGCAGCGGCGTTTGTGTCGAGCCCGCGACCGCAGGTATCGGAATTCGGCTAGAACAATCTAGTGTGACAGCAGGCACACAACTTCATGAAAGGCTTGGCTGTCCTGCCACAAAAAAATTTGGCTGGTCAGCTTATTTACTAGCAGTGAGTACAAATAGTATATAAAGATAACATTGGAATTAAAAAGATAGCTGTAACCAAAGCGAGTTAATTGAAGACATATAGTGTCTTCATTAATCTTGAGATGTAACTTATTAGAGGTATGTTCATAAATAATCGTTCACAATCTCTTAGGAATGTCGCGGGGAAGCTTCGCTGGTAGGATTTTACTTTTTCGGTTTTTCTCTTCCCCAGTCACACGGTACCCCATGCACTAGATCTATCAATTGCTGCGCCATCCACAAAGTTACAAGTGCCTAGAAATCTTCAATGAGTATTACAGTTTTAACATTATGGTTCTTCTAAATATCTTACCTGAATAAAAACAATCCACTTTTCTTACGTGACGAATTCAGAAACAAGCTGTTGATTAAGTGCGTGTACAGAGTGTCACTGGTCGATGCCCGCTAACTTCCACAATAACCCTGCCGATAATAAACTTATTGTTACGCGGTTATTAACACAACACAATTGCATTCTCTGACTGTCCACGAAGTATTTGTTCGTTGCTGTGGAATCATGCGTTGAGGGGTTCATGCAGCTCTAATGATGTTTGTGGATATCTAGCTGTCTATATGTTGAGGGAACGGGGTCGTAACGCGCTGCGGCGGCACCGGGTAGCGATTCTTTTCTCGTACGCTCCAAAATTTATCGCTTCTCGATTTGTTGTACGAGCGCTTTGAAAGCCGTGAGCGGTGAGCGAAATCCGTCGCCGCTTCCGTGTACTTTTTTGCATGCCCTGACCTCTGTATTGACCTGGCCTCGTTGCGTATTTTTGACAAATATATAGTATAATATATATGTATATATATAATATACTATATTATATAATAGTATATTAAAACAAAAAATATAAAATTATAGGAGTTAGGGTTGGTCAGAAATAGCTAAACGAGCCAGGTCAAACAGAGGTTAGGGGGATATGACCCTACGAGCTATACTATAGTCCACACCGTTTCTTGCATTGTAACTTCTTTTCGGAAATAGTTTTAGTTAGGGAATGGCTGCATCGCCTATGCGTGTCCACTTAATTGTTATTCATTTTATTGTTCTTTTTCTTGTTTAAAACATCTGCACTCATTTAATGTTCAGTAGAGTAGTACTGACTACTGTACTTGCATCACACTACAGTACAGTCTACAGCATAACTCACTGAGTGTACTTTGAATGGAGGCCAACCATCCATCCTCTTCTAAATGCAAGCGCCTGACCAATCAATGGCTTTAATCATAGCAATATATCAATTCAAAATTAATTAAGTAAACTAATCTTAAAGGTTCTCACATTTTTATTATATGCTCAGTTTACCAGTGTTATCATTATACATAATTACTCTAACTAGCATTGACATATATGATCAGTCAGTAGTGTTATATATTTGCTACTGCTAATGTTACAGCTGATGTTACTTCTATCGATTTCAGATGGGAAGGGAATGCTTCGAAAATTTCGCGATGACAATGACAGAAGAAGTGAAGAGGTCGTGGAAATATACGAAGAATGTTTAACTTCAAAAATGAACAAGTTAGGAAATGAAAGTAAGTCTGTGCAACTTGTAGCATATCAGGGATCGAATTAAACTGACGGCACCGACGGGAAAATTGCACGTCGGTGCCCCTATCAAGTCGCCGTACTTGCCCCTTGAAATCCACCAACCGACCCGACGGCAGTACCTGCCTTTGCCTTTTTGTTAATTGTGCGTCGGTACCTTTATCTATCTGCCTAGTTTGACGTTTTTAGTTGAGTCAAAAATAACACGTGCAGCAGTGCCATGCTGTAGTTTGCAATGATGAGCTAAAACGATAGATGCGCAGGAAGGAAATAATACAGCATCGAGAATTATGTGCGCTCCTGATAGCGGGCATGTAAAATTTCTTGCTTACTGTTACTTCCATTAGCAGAGGGGAGTACAAGGGTCGCGTGTATACGGTGTGTATAGTTACAATGGGGCATATTAGTTTTGTACATTAAAAGGCACAGACGATGTTTGATGTACTAATTTGTTTATGGCATTTTCCTGTATTTTACAAAGTGCCTTTGTGCCTTCTCAAATATTGGAGAGTTGCCTTGGTGCCTTTATTAATTGGGCCTTCTGTGTCTGTCATTTATTAGAGAAAATTCAAGGCGATTTCTCACATGCCCCTCAAAAAAAATTGGCCTTGGCCCTTTCTCGTCATGTGATTCGAGCCCTTACGGCAGGGTAGCAATCATATACTAGTAATATATATATATATAATATATATATACTATAATATATATTATATATATTATATGAGAGGAGGGAAAGAGAGAGATAGCAAGAGAGTGAGAATAGACTATAGAAATATATATGTATATTGCTAATATATATATTAGTTCTTGCAGTGGTGCTCGTGATTTTATATATGCTTCAATTGGTTCGAATAAATTTCGTATGTAGTTGGCCCGTGGCAAAGTCTTTATGTTAGGCCTTAACTCACTCTCAATCTTCGGGTGTTAATTACTTGAGTAATACAAATCCGTGAATCCTGTCAATTATGGTCCCGGGTTGAACTAATTTTGAACGCTGTCAATAAAGTGTAGTTATTATTTGATGTACGACATTGATTTTCGTCACGCGAGCGGTGTTTTTGGAATAATCTCCATCGTGTGCAGCGCGCTGAGTCATTTGATGTTGAAAAGCCGGCGGCCCCTCGCTCGTGTCAATGCAGGGAAACAACCGCGATGCTATGTAGATGATTCATCGCAATTCAGGGAAAAAAGAAAACACGCGTTTAGGAAGCCTGCCGTGTCGCGTCTCATTCGTTTTCAGAGTCGGTTGGTGCTACGAGCAAGTTTGCTTGGCGCACTCGAGTGTTCGAGACAGGAATAGTGTCAGCGTACGCCGAATCTTCACACGTGCGGTCTACCTTAGTTGCCTCAGTTTTCCTGCGTTATAATTGTTCAATTCGGCTTTTTCTGCCTTTACAAATATCTCAAATCTTCTGCTTTTTTGCTGCTTTCTAAATTTCCCATTCTAAAATTTCTCACCAAAGCTAGAAAAAGCATAGACGCCGCCCGCACCGCGGCACCCGCGCGGACCACGGCACCGTATTTATCGATATCGCAACGCGGCATGCGTTAAGAAAATCGCCAGTGTAGTGCCTAGGCTCCTAAGTCGCCGTTAATTTTTATCTTTTTTCGAAGACTAAGTTTTCCGCTTTCTCTCCCGACTTCCGCCGGAAAACTTCGGCGGACTAGTCATACACTTCTGATTTACATTGCTTTCTCATGTATCTTCACTAGTTAGAAACCTTAGGCACTCAGATATGACATGTTAGACGCCGGCAAAAGTAATGCTTCATTTCTAGCCAGTAATGTATTTAATTTATTGTAATGTTTTTATTATGTTTCAGAAATGTTTTATCTGTTACACTGGCGTCAATCGAGTTCCCGCACATTAGCCGCAGGTGAAGAAAACTACGCAGCATGCAACACGATCGCTCAGAGAGCGTAAGGCGATCAGCCAGCAGTACATCCTAAGGTTCTCTCGACTCATTCCTCATTCCTCTTTCTTCCCTCCCTCCACTCTCCTCTCTCAATCTCTATTTCACGTCTCTCTCTCTCTCACCTCTCTCTCTCTTTTCTCTCTCTCTCTCTCTCCTCCCTCTATTACCGCTTGCTCTCTCTATCTTTCTCTCTCGTCTATCTTTTTCTCTCTATCTTCTCTCTTTTTTCTTGTTCTCTAACCTCTTCCTCTCTCTCTCCCATCCTATTTGTGTGTTTTAAACTATGAGCAAGAGGATAGTTATTTGACTCGCTGCAGCACCAGGATGAGAGCAGCTCTCCCTTCCTCCTCTCTCCCTTCCTCCCTCTCTCTCTCTCTCTCTTACCATCTCTATTGTGTGTTTTAACAGCTATGAGCGAGCGATACGTATCTATGACTCACTGCAGCACCAGGATGAGAGCAGCTCTCCCTTCCTCCTCCCTCCCTTCCTTCCTCCTTCCCTCTCTCTCTCACCATCTCTATTGTGTGTTTTAACAGCTACGAGCGAGCGATACGTATCTATGACTCGCTGCAGCACCAGGATGAGAGCAGCTCTCCTTCCCTTCCTTCCTCCCTCCCTCCCTTCCTCCATCTCTCCCTCTCTCTCACCATCTCTATTGTGTGTTTTAACAGCTATGAGCGAGCGATACGTATCTATGACTCACTGCAGCACCAGGATGAGAGTAGCTCGTCGGTGCGTAAGCGTCGCATCTCCATCCTGCACGCCGCCGGAAAGACCAGCGACGCCATCGTTGAGCTTAACGCCTATCTAAAGCAGTGAGTATGTCTGTTCGTCTATCTGTATGTATGTCTGTCCGCCTGTCTGTCTGTCTGTCATGTATGCGTTCATGTATAATATGTTCAACATCACATGTTCGTCGTCGTGAACAACATGTAGGAACATGTATAATATGGTTAACATCACATGTTCATCGTCGTGAACAACATGTAGGGACATATATAATATGTTCAACATCATGTGGTCATCATCATGAACAACATGTAGGTTCATGTATATGTTTAGCATCATCACATGTTCATCATCATGAACAGCATCTAATTTAATGTATAGCATGTTCATCTTTGTGAACAACATGTAGGTTTATGTATAATACGTTCAGCATCATGGGTTCATCATCATGAACAACATGTAGGTTTATGTATAATATGTTCAGCATCACATGTTCATCATCATGAACAACATCTAACTTAATGTATAGCATGTTTAACATCTGTGCTCAATGTTACGAACAATGTGTAGCTTCATATATAATATTTTCATGTATATCATGTTCAACATCACGTGTTCATCTTCGTGAACAACGTGTAGGTTCATGTCGGACTACGAGGCGTGGATGGAACTGTGTGATCTCTACATATCGGAGAACGACTACGCCAAGGCTTCGTACTGCATGGAGGAAGTGCTGTTATCTAACCCTCACAACCACCTCTACCACCAGCGATATGCGGACGTGAGTCGCCTATGTGTGTCGCCCGACGCTCTCTTACAGACAGTCGTTAATTACTCACAGATTATAAATTTCACGCGGTTGACAAATTCGTTGCTTTAATAACTTGATCATTTCTTGAGTAAACTGGGAAAATTTATACACGATGTAGATAAATTCAGTCATAAGTGACTGCTGCTGCTGCATGCTCGTTTGCTATATGCAAATGATGCCATGCACCCAGACACTCGTTAATTACTTGCAAATTAGGTATTTCACACGGTTGACAAACTCGCTACTTTAAAATCCGCTGGGATTTGAAAAAGCAACGATGGGTCCAGGGGTTTGTTGTTTACTGTTGCCATTTTGGTTGTTTGCCGATCTGTTTTTAAATGTGTTGTTCAAACCAGACATTCGTTAATTACTCGTAAAATTCTGAAAAAGTTTGGTGAAAATTTTTTTTTATCCGATTTATCTTCACTGTCCATGCCATGTGTTGTTTTTTCCTTTGCCTCTCACCTCTCACATCGCTTGCATTAGACACAAGATGGATTCGATCTCCCTTCAGTCATGTATTCATTAATTCTCATGGTGTGTTGGACATTTCTCAGCTTGCGTGTGTTATTGCAGATCCGCTACACACAGGGAACAATAGACAACATGGAGCTGGCGCGCGCTCACTACTCACAGGCCGTCGCGCTCAACTGTAACAATGTGCGCGCCATGTATGGTCTGTTCCTGGTGAGTAGTAGGGACACTAATGATGTCACGATCATCGATTATACTCGATCATCGGTTGAACAGTGGCTCGAGCCAAGCGCTTGGTTATCAAAATCCATAATCAATTTCATCGGAAAAAAAAAAAAAAAAATTTGAAAAAGTGATGAGAATCAGAGATATCATCACTACTATACAAGTTATCCTTTATTAACATACATGTATTATACACACATTAGTAAACAGTGCAAAACAAACAGTAAACAAGGCTAAACAAGCACATACATGCACACACGTACATGCACACGACGTTACGCACGCAGGCATTCAACACCCCGAGTAACCGATCATCGGTTACTTGGGTCCAACCAATGATTGATTACGAAATTACAACCGATTGACAACAGTAAGGGACACCCATTCTGGCCACCCAGGGTTTCTTATACATAGGAGGCAAAGTCGCGCACCGCCGTTGTCAAATTTAACATCGCCGTTGTGAAAATGTTCCTATATTTACTAATATGTATATCCTGTATCTATATACCTATAAGTATATCCTGTATTTGAATCCATCATGCGCGTTTTTTTCCCAAACTGGCCATTACCTCCTTTGTCTAATTTTCCCTCAGAAGAAACCCTGCAACCTTCTCCTCGCCCCACGTCCCTCTACAAGTTCTCTCATCCTGTCCTCGTTCTCTAATCTCTCCGTGGTGGTTGCCTCATGTGCCGTTCTCCTGGTGAGCGGTAGCTAATATGCATTCGGGTTTTTTCGATTTTGTTCCACACGCGATTCCCACCCTCACATTGCCCTGTCACTTTTTTAGCATATATATATATCAGGGGTTAATAATGACAAACCGGTGAATGACAAACCAACAAAGGGGTTAATAATGTTACATTTGTCATTATTAACCCCTGATATATATATATATACCCCTGCTACCTCACACTACTTCCACCCACCCCCTCTAAATCTCTGTGCAACCTGTAGCACTTGCCTCACTAATCTCACGTCACCTCACTCCTTGCCTCTCTCTGCAGATCTCTTACATTCATCCAACCTTGGTCCTTTCTTTGCATCTCCCTCTGCATATATTTTACAGTCATCCTGCCCTCCTTTACCTCTCACCCCACATCTTGCATTCATCCTGCCTTTCTTTACATCTCCCTCTGCATATATTTTACAGTCATCCTGCCCACCCCTGTCTCCCACCCCACATCTCTTGCATTCATCCTGCCTTCTTTTACATCTCCCTCTGCACATCCTTGACAATATTAATAATCCAGCCCTCCTTTGCCTCTCATCCTTAGTTAGTGCTGATAGTAGTGTAATTGTTAGATTCAAGGCATAGCAAAACAAGGACCACAATGTAAATAAGTGTGCTAGTCATGCTTTTTGTGTATATATTCTTGGTAGTTATCCAATTTTATGAATTCAGAATTTTATTGTAAAAGTATGCTATGTATTGTATATGATGGATAATTGCCTAAATAAATAAATAAATAAATAAATAAAAAATAAAATAAATAACCCTACATATCTTACATTGCTTTCTTTGTTTTGGTTATATCTCTATTTTCATTCTATTTCACATGGCTTTCTTTCACCGCGTGTTTCAGTCAGCTAGCAACATAGCGTCAGCGCCCAAGAGCACGGTGCAGCGGAAGCGAGATAACATCAAGTACGCGATGTGGGCGGCAAACCAGATACATGAGCGATACCAGGTAAGGCCCGCACTTGTTTTTGAAAAAGTTAAAAATGCTTTAAAGTTTTCTTCCGCTTTTTCTCACTTCGAGTTTTCTGCTCCACGACTCGCGCTGTGCTGCACTATTTCAAATGATCATGAGCAGGTGAGGTCCACACTTTCTTTTAAAAATTTCTCTCGTTAAAATTGCTTTAAAGTTTTCTCTCTCTTTTCCTCACTTTGAGTTTTACCGTTCCGCCATTTAAGTTTGAAGGTTGAAACTTAAAACACAAGTTAAACACACCTTTGTTTAAAACGCGTGTTTAAAACACATGTCTGGAACACTACTGTACGTGATCTATTCTCCTCGTGGCTTTCTATACCGATCCCTGCGTAGAACGTTTCATATCACGTGTTCATCTTCGTGAACAACGTGTAGGTTCATGTCGGACTACGAGGCGTGGATGGAACTGTGTGATCTCTACATATCGGAGAACGACTACGCCAAGGCTTCGTACTGCATGGAGGAAGTGCTGTTATCTAACCCTCACAACCACCTCTACCACCAGCGATATGCGGACGTGAGTCGCCTACATGTGCTCGATGCCCGACGCTCCCTTACAGACAGTCGTTAATTACTCACAGATTATAAATTTCACACGGTTGACAAATTCGTTGCTTTAATAACTTGATCGTTTCTTGAATAAACTGGGAAAATTTATACATGATGTAGATAAATTCAGTCATAATTGACTGCGGCTGCTGCTGCGTGCTCATTTGCTATATGCAAATGATGCCATGCACCCGGTCCCAGACACTCGTTAATTACTTGCAAATTAGGTATTTCACACGGTTGACAAACTCGCTACTTTAAAATCGGCTGGGATTTAAAAAAGCAACGATGGGTCCAGGGGTTTGTTGTTTACTGTTGCCATTTTGGTTGTTTGCCGATCTGTTTTTAAATGTGTTGTTCAAACTAGACACTTGTTAATTACTCGAAAAATTCCGAAAAATTTTTTTTATCCGATTTATCTTCACTGTCCATGCCATGTGCTGTTTTTTCCTTTGCCTCTCACCTCTCACATCGCTTGCATTAGACACAAGATGGATTCGATCTCCCTTCAGTCATGTATTCATTAATTCTCATGGTGCGTTGGACATTTCTCAGCTTGCGTGTGTTATTGCAGATCCGCTACACACAGGGAACGATAGACAACATGGAGCTAGCGCGCGCTCACTACTCACAGGCCGTCGCGCTCAACTGTAACAACGTGCGCGCCATGTACGGCCTGTTCCTGGTGAGTAGTAGAGACACTATTGATGTCACGATCATCGATTATACTCGATCATCGGATGGACAGTGGCTCGAACCAAGCGCTTGGTTATAAAAATCCATAATCGATTTCATCAAAAAAATAATAATTCGAAGAAAAAAAAATTGAAAAATTGATGAGAATCAGAGATATCATCACTACTATACAAGTTATCCTTTATTAACATACATGTATTATACACACATTAGTAAACAGTGCAAAACAAACAGTAAACAGGGCTAAACAAGCACATACATGCACACACGTACATGC